ATTAATGTAGTAAAAATCATTGGATACCATGCTATTTTAGGTAGCAGTCAAAGGCAGTTTGATGTTGGTCAATTTCAGTGAATCGTTTGATATCTTGTAAAGGTAATCAAATAAAAAGGGGTTGGCGTGGAGAGACAAAGATAAGGTAATCTGGCAATGAAAGAAAGACAGACTAAAAGAGACACACCGGAAGATATAAAGAAATAGATGGGCTTTCAGTCCCCCAACTAATTATTTAAAGTAAAGAATGTTTGAGTAGTGGTCTCAGTTTTTGTTAATTAAACTTACTGGTCCACCCTTGCTCTGGTCTTTGAGATTCAAATAGATTATTGTCACGCCTAGAGTTAAAATCAATATAGTTAATCATTGTATCATCGTAAAAGTTATATATGTTAATATTATTCAGTAATTCTTTAGAATATGAATTGCATATTTGTATAATTATTAAAATGAATACAATAGTAATTAAAATTAACTTAATTATAACAAAAATAGAAAATAAAATGTATTAGAAAGTAATTTTAGAAAAAGTAATTAAGTGCATAGATTATAAAAGCCAAATTAATGGGATCTAGGTTTAGTCTTCACATTACTGAGAAAGGTTCAATTTAATTATACAAATGATCAGATAAATTTTTTATAAATATTTTTAATTTCAAAATAAATAATTTATCTTTAATAAATTAAAAAAAATTTAATCTTAAAATACATATAAACTAAAAAAAAAACCCTGAAAACTCGAAAAACATATTTTATGTGAGTAGGAAAGAAGGGGCCAACAGAGTTGCCCGAAACGGAGACAGACAAGGAACAGAGCGGGAAATCCAGTTGAAAATAGTGAGGCGACGAAAAGGACAACATGTAACCGTTGTAAGGGGGGGTTATGGGTGTGCTGAAGTTGGATGCCAGGCTGACCTCTTTCAACCCCTTTCTCGTCCACTTACCCACACCGATGATTAGCCCTCACATGGTTTCGCTGTACCCTGCTGGTCCCATGCCCCACTTTCTCTTTCTTTCTCTCCAACCAAACAAACGCTAGGACCCATCATTTCGATGTTCTCACATAGTAGTATTATTTTATAAGCACCCCTTTAATTCCCAAAATACCCCTGTCCCACCCATAAATGAGCCACCTCCCTGCATTCTTTCTACGTTCCTGAAAGAGCTGACACAGAGTCTCTCTGAACACTAAACAAAGCTTGAGCCTTAGGTGGGGTCTCCAGAGAAGGAGGAAGGGTTTTCTGCGTTGAAGATGTCTAAGGAAGTGCGTGAAGAAGGGCAGAGCCATGGCAAGGACTACGTGGATCCACCGCCGGCACCGCTCCTTGACATGGCTGAGCTCCAGCTCTGGTCTTTCTACAGAGCTCTTATAGCTGAGTTCATAGCCACTTTGCTCTTCCTTTATGTCACCGTAGCTACCGTTATCGGTGACCTGAAGCAAACCGGAGACTGTAATGGAGTTGGCCTTCTGGGTATTGCGTGGGCTTTCGGCGGCATGATCTTCATCCTTGTTTACTGCACCGCCGGTATCTCAGGTAGGGAGATTTAAAAACAGAGCTAAAAAAACCATCTTTGCTTTCTGGGATTTCTTTTTCCGTGGTTTAGTTAATGGGTATTGCTTCCTTTTTCTTTTCTTTTTTTTTTTGTTAATTCTCAGGTGGTCACATTAACCCTGCGGTGACTTTTGGGTTGTTTTTGGCCCGTAAGGTGTCGCTGATCAGGGCAGTGGCTTACATGGTGGCTCAGTGCTTGGGTGCCATATGCGGTGTTGGGTTGGTCAAGGCTTTCATGAAGCATGACTACGATCTATTCGGCGGCGGTGCTAACTCTGTCAAAGGTGGGTACAGCAAGGGAACTGCCTTGGGAGCTGAGATTATTGGCACTTTTGTGCTTGTCTACACAGTCTTCTCCGCCACTGACCCCAAGAGAAGCGCCCGTGACTCTCACGTCCCTGTATGTTCCTTCTCCTCTGCTTCTATCTCATCAAGTTAGATCCTTTCTTAAAAAGGTGTGACATATGGTTTTAATGGGTGCAGGTGTTGGCTCCTCTTCCAATTGGGTTCGCCGTGTTCATGGTGCACTTGGCTACCATCCCCATCACCGGTACCGGCATCAACCCCGCTAGAAGCTTTGGCGCTGCCGTCATCTTCAACAACCGGAAAGTCTGGCATGACCATGTATGTCTATGTTTTTCAATCAAAAAAGTCTTTTCCTTCTTTATGAGCTTTTCCCTTTGTCTTAGATTAAAATATGGGAATGTGAATTTTACAGTGGGTTTTCTGGGTTGGTCCATTCGTCGGAGCACTGGCTGCCGCTGCATACCACCAGTACATTCTGAGAGCAGCAGCTATCAAGGCATTGGGATCATTCCGCAGCAACCCCACCAACTAAAACAAAAACGTCATAAATAACGCAAATAGCTTTGTCTCTCCACTCTTGTTTATTTGTTCGTTTGTGTGTATGAAGAGGATGGTTATGATGAAGGGACGCTTTTCTCCTTTATCTTATAATTTAATCTTTTGATGTTAATTAGCTTTGATGGACAACCTTGTGTATGATTGTTCTTGATTAGCTAGTGGTGGTGTTCATTTTCTATAATTTTGTGCAGAACTTTTTTAACCTCTTTAGCTTTGTCTCTTGCTTTTCTTTTCTTTTTTCTTTTTTCTTTTTCTAATATAATTATTAGTATGGAGGAAACATTATCTTAATTAATAATGTTGCTTCTAAATGACAAAAGATGTTAAGGTAAATGAATAGACCCAAGGACAAAAACCCTCGAACCCCTGGGTTCTAATCGCATGAACCCTGTTGTTGAGCCCATGTTGCTGGAGGGGTTAATATTTCCAATCATATGGTGGCCACGTGTTCCTGAAAATGCACCTGGGGAGAACAAATTAAGATGAATGCTGCTCTCCTTTTTCACCTCTGGAGAAGTGTTTACTGGGTTGGGTGAGGCGGTGTGAGCAATTGGCATGGTTGATTGCTACTTGGTACCATATTGTCTTTGTCCTGCCAGTTTTGGACTTCAGTCCAACGGCCAACAGGACTAAACGACAGCCAAGGATGGGTTTGTGGGACCCTTCCAGCTCTGCATTTGCTACGTGTCATGAGATGGTGGGACTACATGGCATGGCATCACATGGGCAGTGGCAGCTAGTTTAGTTAAGCCGGTTTTGCTTATTTTCATCTTTATCCCATCAATCAGTTAAAATGGAAAAATGAAAAAGGAGACTGCTTTTTGAAAATTTTGATTTTATGAAAGGGCTTACGACTTAAAGTGAATAATGGACTCGACTTTTTACGAAAGTTACATGGTCATTTCTGCCACCTTCTGGACCACTGATTCGAACGTTAGAAGAAGTCCAATCCAGACTCCCGAGTCCGGAAATCACGAGCCTAGTAAATAGAATTTAATTGCCTGAAGCTCAATTCAAAAGCAGAGTCACAGGCAGGGAATGTTATTTGGGAACCTCTCTTTTAAGAACTTTGATTAGGGGTTGAGGGGGAAAGTTTGGTGGCACCAAATTGACACCAGAATGTAACCCACCAACTTCCTACTTCACTGTCTGTGTTTTACTTGCTTGGTAATTAAAGTACAGTAAATTCAATTAGATTTTAGAAATGGGTTTCCTTCCCCACTCTCTAAGGAAAATAAAGAAATGAGGTACCCAGAGATCAGATAAAGTTTTAACACATCTATAAGATCTAGTAATAAGGATTTAGACTTGAATAAGTCCTAAAATGGGTAGAGAGGAGTTTGAAAAGGTTATGATTATTTTCTGTTATATAATGTATCATTTGATATATTACAAAAAAGTATAAATTTATTTATACATAAATTTTATATACCACGTTTATATAAAATTTCAACAATTTATTTTGTCACTTTCAATGTTGAAATTTATTCACATTTATTAAAAATAATTATATTTTTCATCTAAAAAATTATAATAAATCTCAATAATTAAAAATTAAAATTTTGTATAAATATAATATATAAAACTTACATGTAAATAAATCATTATTACAAAAAAAGTTTTCGAACCTAAGTCCTTAAACTATTTTTGAGCCTAAGTAAGTCCTTAAACTATTTTTGAGGGTCATCAAAGATAACCTCTACCCTAGAAATTAAAAAGACTATCAAAATTTGGGAAAATCAGGCCTCAATGAGTCCTTGAACAACTATAACTACCATGTGAGACAGACCTGATTTAAGATAGAAAGGGCCTCGCTCGGTTTGGAAAGAAACTTATTCCCTCTCTAAGAGCTGCAGTTCAAGCCCAAGAGTAACGAGTTTTAACACTATAGGAGTAACAAGGTTTACAAGTCTTATATACATTGTTAAGAGTACTGCCAAGGGCTTTTCCTCGCGGGAGTACACACTTCACACCTTGGATATTATGAAGATAAACTACCCGATTAAGAATATGCAACCAACAAGCAATGAACGAGTTAAAACAAGTGATAAAGAGTGGCATTTGTAATTGTAATTTGAGATTATGCAGCTAATTTTTCTTCCAAGTCGAATTTTGTAAGCAATACTGTAATAGCATGGAAAAAAGCCAGTGGAAAGGAAAAAAACAAAGCCTGCATACACTTGGAAGATTTAAGAGACGAGAGGATATGTTATTCAAACAAAGTGCTCCAATAAGCAAGTACCTTAGTCAGGCAATGCCATTCCTCTCTCAAGATTGTTCTTGATTTCCAAGGTCAAGGCAATCCCTGTTACAAGATTAAAAGTCAGTTTATGCCCTAACCAAAGGCAACTAGAAGCACTTTTTACGAAGACAACTAGCCAAGCATCATCAACCAGTGGCTTCTTGTTTGGAAAATGCATTAAAAAGCTCATCATCCGTGGATTTTCCTTAAAATGCTTCGAGAATGAACTTTATGGAGTAGACAGTATTGTCCAGTTCATAATATTCAAGCTCAAGCACTCTCAACTTACCTTTTGAGTCTGCAACCCGAACCCTGGCATCGGCTGCCTACTTTTTTTCTTTTTTTGATCTAAATCTTGCAACTGAGATTCTAGCTCCTCTCTCATCAACTTCAAAGAACGCTCTTGGTCAGATTTTTTTTCCTTCCATTACATGGAGCTGACTAGCGAGCTGGACTGCTTTCAAGATTTCCTTGAGCGAGGCAACATCAATCCCTGCTGATTCCTTCTTTTACGATCGCTTTGGCCAACTGCTAGAATGGAGCAAAGTGCAACTCTTGAAACACGGAGCATAAGCACCCCAAGTGAGAAACACGCAATTGAGGCTGAGTTTAGCTGGCAGTTTTCCGCTATGTCTCCATACTTCTTGAGAATTGCCCGCAGGGTGAAAGACACAAAAGCTCTCACATGTTATTTTCCAACTGACACACAAGAATCAGAGATTACAGTCTGATTTGTTCTCACACGCCTTGTCTTCATCTATCTTTCTAAAGCAGTATTCCACACATTCATGGTAAGGATTAAATGCATTAATACAATCCACGTGATGGAATTAACTTACTTCCATCGATTGAGTACTTTTTCTTCAGTCCACACCACTATACTTGCCTGCAAAAGTGCAGAAGCACTACCCAGATTCCAGTTTTTTTAACCACCACTATAAACTACATATGAAAATAAAATTTGCAAGGGCCTTAAACATGTTGATTTAGACTCAAGAACATATAATTAACTCTGAAATTCACCAGAAAATTACAGAGACTTCTCTGAAATTTTATTGGATAAGATCTAAGAATGGTCATTGGTCTTACATCCTTCATATAGAAAACTTAAACACCTTAGTATGACACAAAATCCTAGTCAAATATAAGAAGAAGAAAAAATCGTACAACAAACCAATTAAATTTATATTGCATAAGTCCAATTGCTCAAGATTTGAACCCAAAAAGAGTTTTTTTGACTCGAAGGAATCGACGCTCCTCTAAAATAATAACATAAATATCTAATCTCAAAATAATTAGCAATAATAAAGAAATCAATTTTATATTTAAGAATATGTACATATTTCTTTTTCCTATTTCGATATAAACTTTCTCACGTAAAATGGTTAAAACCAATATATGGAAAACCATAAGATGAATCGAAACAAGTAAAGTAACGAACCTGCTGAACAAAATTTCTCGAAGGCTTTCTGTCTAGGGTTTCGTTACGCAGACTGATTTTATTTTTAGAACAAGGAAAAAGGAAGTTCAGTCCAGTAGCAAATTATTAGCTCAATTTCAAATTGAAAAGATGATTTTACCCTATTAATGTCTGTTTGCACTAGAAAACAATTTTATGTTTTTCCATTTCTTTGTAAATCAGCAAGAAAAAATCAATCCACACGGATTTCTTTTAAAGGGTTACAGTATATAGGTGGTTTGCATGTACCTTAAGAATAATATTTTTAATTTATTGAAAAACAAATTATTTACATTAGAGAGAAAAAAATTAATGAAAAATTATCTTATTTTTAATTTTTTAATAAATATATATTTTTTTAATTTTCGAATGCATAATAAAAAGTAATTTTTTCTATCTCATAACTTATTCCACTATCATATTATATAATTTAAATTTATAATTTCATATTCTAACTGAAAAAAAATTAGCATTGAGTTACCTAAATTATTGGTGATCATTTTAAAGAATTAAAACTTGATTAATGAGGTGAGAAGAAAAAGTCTTACTAATTAAATTACAACTTTTTGAGTACTTTTGAATGATTTACTAATTATGTTAAAAAATTTTTAGTACCAGTGAATGATTTATTTGCTAAATTATGAAGGGTAAATTACCTTTATAGAGCCTTTTTTTTTCGGATTAAAAAAAAAAAAAGAAAAACAAAATTAAACTAAAAATAAACAAAAATATATTTTGATTTCGATGATTCGATCACATTTTCATTATTTAATTTGAATGACCACGGACGGGAAATGACATGTAAAAACAAGACTGCCAGCTTACAAAAGATTAAAGTAATTTATGTCCTAAACATGCGTAGCTAGAAGCACTTATGTTGCCATTTCCATTTTATTCTACAAAGCCAAGCATCAAATGATAGTGTTCTGTTTGGCAAAATGCCTTACAAAAGCTCATCTACCAGGGATTTCCCTTGAAACTTTTCAACAATGGACTTGATTGATGAAACAGTCTTGTCCAGGTGAGAGCATTCATGCTCGAGCATCCTCAACTTAGCTTCTGTTTCTGCAACTTGTACCCTGGCATCCGCTGCCTCCTTTTCTTTTTGAGCTAAATCTTCCAACCGAGATTCTAGTTCTTTCTTTGTTGTTTCCAAAGAACGCTTTTGTTTGGATTTTGTTGACTCGATTGCATGATGTTGAATCATGAGCTCGATGGCTTCCAAGATTTCATTGAGAATGCCACGCAGCCAGGAGACATCAATATTAACGGATTCTATGTCTTTGAGGACCAAAAACATTTCTTTTACTTTTGCTTTTGTCAGTTGCTGGACTGAAGTGGAGTGCAATTCTTGAACCACGGAGCACAGACACTCTAAGTAATAAGCACGCATTGAAGCTGATTCTAGCTGGCAGTTGGCTGCTACATCTCCATACTTTTCAAGAATTGCCTGCAGAGTGGAAGAGACACTTGATCTCACATGGTATTTTCCAACTGACACGCACGAATCAGAGATTACAGATTCCACCTCTTCCTCATCACTCTCTTCTGGAGTTTGAGCAGTGCCTGAGAAACTAAAGGTAGAGCTTTTAGAGTTGCCTCTTCCAACCTCAACGTTTTGATCTGAACTGAACTGAGATGAAGTTTGGAACTTCTCAGCTTCTTTCACTCTGGTTTGGGTTACTCTAACAGGCTGTCAGAAAAAAGAATGTGAGAGAGAAGTAAACATGTATATGACACTGGGAATCATCAACCTTCGTGCGCATGTGCGTGCCTGCGTGTGTGTGTGTGTGCATGTGTGTTTGTGTCTAGAGAGAGAGAGAGAGGGCAGAAACCGTGATATTCCCAGATGCAGGGACTGATTGAGAGAATTGAACTTGTTCCATGTCAAAAGATTGAACTCGGGAGTAAATTCCCTCAGAATGTTGCTCAGAGGAAGAAAAGGATCCACTATTCTCTAATTCCACCACTTTCATAGAAAAATGGGATCGAGGTGACTTAGGATCAGCAGGTGTATTGTCAAGCACCCTAGGGGATATTGGATCAGAGTCAGATCCCTTCTTCTTCCTGCCAAAGTTTTGGGAATCCTCAAGGATTTTGGAGCCTGCAATAAGGATGAAGTACATTAGTCAGGAATAATTGTAGTGCCTCCAGCAAAACAAATTATCATACTTGAGACAATTCAGATGATATCAAGTTGATGACAATGCATAAGAACATTTATTTGCTAGAGCCACCCAGTACTTTGAAGAAAGCTTAATCAGAGTAAAACATTATTGTTTCTATTCCCCTGGACTTAGAAAATCCGCTAGATTTGTTGAGAAAGAGTAATCATAAGGCAAAGAATACAAAGCAGAATCCTTTTTCTCTACTTGAAAAGCAGAAGCTTCAGTCCAAAATAGCTCAATAGATAATCCCTGATTAGATCTATCACACCAAATTTCATCCAAGATGAATGCAATTTCAGGAGAAAAGAATATATAATGATGATCCTAACAGATATCAAACAATCCAAAGAGCAATAGCATTCATAAAAGGGGAAACCTGATTCCTTTTTAAAACCACGAGTATTGGAGACAGTATTTCTTTTGAGGCAATTTTCATCACATTCATGGTAAGGATTAGCTGCCCTTGCGCAATTTGGGTAGACCATTTTCCCAGCATCCTTGTTTTTGCTAAGCTCATTGTGTTTTATACCATTGCGAATATCTAACAAAAAGGGGAAAAAGAGAAAAAAAGGGTTTTTCACCTAAGTTAGAAAATAATCAGCAAACCTGCAATGCATTTAAAAACTTACTAATAGAACAAAACTTCTTTTCTTTTCATTATTGAAAAACCTGATTCTTTTTTAACCCCCGGAGCATTGGCCACAGTATTTCTCTTGATGCAAAAGTCATCACATTCATGGTAAGGATTAGAAGCCTTAGCACAAATTGGGTAGACTGTTTTCTCTGCATCCTTCTTTTTGCCAAGATCACCTTGTTTTATGCGATAGTGATTATCTATCAAAAAGGTAAAAGTTTTTCACTTATGTTTAGAAAGTGGTCAGTGAAGCAAGCAATAAACTCAAAAACTTAACAATACAACAAACTTCTTTTACTCCTTATCAAAAAACCTGAGTCATTTGTAACAGCTAGGGCATCAGCCAGAGTAGTTCTTTGGGAGCAAAATTCATCACATTGATGGTAAGGATTAGATGCCTTAGGACAAGATTGGCGTACTCTTCTCTCATCATCCTTCTTTTTGCCAAGTACTCCACTGTGATTACCTAAAAAAGGGGAGAAAGTAAAAGGAAAATAAACATATGTTTAAAAAAAGATCAACAAACCAATAGAGAACTCAAGCAGACACTAGATCATCAGAAAATCAAATCAAAGCCACCTTATGAACTGAACTAATAAATTTAAAGAAATCTACTTCAAAATTCTTTGATGAGACTACCAACTGCTAAAATGGAACCAGATAATTCATACTCTTTCAAGACCACCAAAGCTACAGAACAGGACAAAGAATAGTACTTACCTATCTTCTTTTTATCCCTTCGTTTTTCGCCTCTGGCAGCTCTTTCTAAACAATTAACACCACATTCATGGTATGGATTAGCAGCATTAACACAACCTGGGTGTACTCTCGAGTTCTCGTCCATCTCCTTGTTTGTTCACTGATACCACCAGAAAAACAAAGAAAAGATTAATACAAGCTCAAAGATCCTAACTTGCTTTGTACTTTTAATTTCTCATTGGAACAGTAGCTCATATGTCACTCCAATTCATACAAAACGTAAACCAAATCCTTACCAAATTCTAAACAGAAAATATGAACTAAATTATTAATACAGCTAAACCCCCAAAAGTCAAAATGAAACAATTCAAGAAAATAATGTTTGGTTTCAACAACCACTTTATCTATAGCATAGCTTGAATAGTAAACTCTCCTGAAAGCTACCAGTACCGACTTTTATGATTAGAGTCATCCATATTAAATTACACCCAATATTTTTCTTCAAAATAAAGCATTCAGAATTTCACTAAAAAACCCCTTTTCAATTTTGATAGATCAAAAACCAGATTTGAGTTCTTAGTTTTGATTCTTTACCAATAAATAAGAGATATAACAAAAGAAAATTAAAAAAAAAAACACATCAGACAGTAAACACTAAATATACAAAAGATCATGGGAGAGTTAAGGATCACCTTCACCTTTTCCGGCTCTTTCCCGCCAAACAAACAGAGAACAAGGGAAAGAACGAAAACCAGTGAAATTTACGCTAAAAACTAAAACTTTAAGCTAATAAGATAAACCCCAGATGAAAAGCATGCAGCAAAAAAGAGTGGGACATTAAAAAATCGGATAACAATATAAGAAAAGAAAAATCAAAGAAATTCCAGTAAAATACCAAAAAACTGAAGCTTATCCAACAAACCCCAGATTAAGATCATGCAGAAACACCCATGTGGGCACAAATTAAAAAGAAAAATAAGAGAAATGGGAAGTTACCGGAGGAGCTGAGACAGAAAGAAAGAAGAAGAAAAATGGGAGAGATGGAGATAAGTGAGAATCAGACTTGGATTTGGAGCATTAAGTGTTTGACCAATAGGGAAATTTATAGCTTTAGAATGGTCATGAATTGACCAACGGTAAGGATTGAAAAAATGTGCTGTTTGGTATAATGCTCTAAAACGAGGAGTGCGGATTTATGTAATTAATTAGCCTTTGAATTATTAATAATAAATTAATGTTTTTCAATTATATTTATAAAAATTAGGTAAAAATAAAAATCATGAAAAAAAAATAAAATATCATCCTTTTTATTTTAAAAATAATTAAGATATATCAATAATTTATTAATTTGAATAAACAGTATTTGGTTTCTTTACTTAAAATTTGAAGTTTGAGTGCAATATAATTTTTTATGATGAAGAGGTTAATATCAAAAAATATAATTCAGATGTTTATTTTTAAATAAAATTTTATTAAAATTAACCTAATTTTGAGATTTTTTATTTAATTTT